GGGACTGAGGTCTCGACTGACTCCTTTGATTTATCTGACCTCCGCTCTCCTTTGACTATGCTTCCGGCCTCTCCCTCTATGGTACGGCAATTTTCGAATCGCTGGCCCATTCCACGTCGGACCAACTCTGGTCCCACGCCTAAACACCAACGACAATTGCCTGCTGAAGATACTTCTCCACCTTCTCGTTCTTCTCAGAAAAGATCGACACGTCCTGCACTCCCTTTCCACATTCAGTTTCAGAATGCACAATGGACTAAATTCTTCACTTTACGACCAACTTCCTCTACTGCCTATCTTTCTGACCACAGTATTGGCAAGGCACTCCTACCCATGTTGGTAAGATATTTCTTTTCATGCTCTTAAGAGCGGTACGTGCATCATCACTGTACAGAATGCTACCCAAGCTCATGATCTTTCTCTTCTTTCCCATATCGATACTGTTTCTGTCACTATTGAAAAACATCATTCCCTCAATTCTTGTAGTGGTACCGTCATTCTGCCCCATACCATTGTTCAACAAAATTTCCAGACATGTGGCAATGACATTCTTGAACAGCTGGAACTCCAAGATCTCCCAATCCTCAAGGTAGACACTTATGTTCTTCCTGCCCGCAGGCGGAGACGATACCCTAGCAATGTGGCTCGTTTAACTTTTGACAGCCGTGAACTTCCATCCTCAGTTTATGTAGCAGGACATCGGTTACAAGTTCAAAAAGTGATCCCTACACCGCAGCAGTGTAGAAATTGCTGGCGATTTGGCCATCCAGTGAAATGTTGCAGATCTATAGCCGAATGCCCAGTCTGTGGTGCCAATGACCATTCTAATACGTCTTGCAATCAACCTCCCTCTTGCCTTAATTGTCATGAGGCTCACCCTTCGTACTCTCGCCATTGCCAAGTCTACTGAAATGAGTGGGAAATCCGTTACCTCAAAGACGCAGAGGGTCTCCCTTATGCCATGGTAGTTTCTCATCTCCGCCTCCAAGAGAGACTACCTCGTGTTTCTTATTCCCGTGTTTCAAAACGCTCCCCCACTTCTGGGGTCCCATCTTCTGCAGCCTCCTCTGTGGTTACCTCTCTCATAGTCACTCCTGTATCTAATTCTTTTGCTGTCCTAGGCTCAGACGTCCCTACTTCAACGCCTCAGTCTGTTCTCGCTTCTTCGTGTTCTCCCTCACAAGCCTCAGTATCAACGAGATCTCGTACGACACCTCCTCCCAATCGTCCTCCCACTTCTCAGAAGTCAAAAAAGGTCCTTAACCCCTCCTTCCCTTCTTCCACCCCCTCATTTTACCTTCCCTGTGTCTGTACCTGGTTCTTCCCCTCTCACTGGCTCTGTTACAAGTGTAGAGGTTCACCCTCCTCCTCATACTGTACCTTCCTCCCCTGTTCCCTCCCAAGTTTCTTCCTCTTCTGCCACCTCCAGGTTTCTGCCTCTTCTGTCCCCTTCCACGCTTCTTCTCCAGTTCCCTCCACCCTTTCGCCCCCCTACCTTGGTACAGTCCATTACAGTTCCAATCTTTACTCATCCTCCCCCCACCATCTCCAATATTGTCTCCCATACGACATCTCTGAATTCCAAAAAAACTTGAAGCAATCTCTGAATATATTTCAGAGACCAAACCATCAATGGACACTGATCTACCCTCTGTTCCTTTTCTCTCCTCTCCTCCATTTCACAAAATCCTTTCTTCACAGCGCACCGTTCCTTCGCTGCTTGAACATTTTCCGCTGCCTCCGCATGTGGACTTTTCTAACCCTTCTAGTCCGTAGGAACCCTTACCTGCGGATTTCCCGGTATCTTTATCATTGCCAATCATGGCCTAAATTTTCGTGGAATATACGCGGCCTCGGGTAATCGGGGTGAGCTTCAGATGTTACTCTCCCAGTTTTCCCCTGTTGGTGTTTGCTTACAGGAACCAAAATTACACTCTGCTGTTATCTATCCCATCTCAGGCTAATTTATTGTATTCTTCAGATCCTTTTCCTGATGGGACCTTTAATGAAAGTGCCCTTCTTCTACGCACTGATATTCCGTACCATCAGCTATTTGTTCATACTTTGCTGCATTACACAGCAGCCTGTATCCACTGCATAGGTGGTATACGCTCTGTTTCTTTATATCTCTCTCCTTCTCGGGCATTATCTGTTCCGTATATTGCCTTTCTTGTTTCATCATTACCGCCACCGCTTCTGTTACTTAGTGATTTTAATGCCCATCATTTCCTCTGGGGGAGTCTCACTGTGATTCCCATGGCATTCAGTTAGAGGCTTTTCTTGCTACCCACCCCCTCCATGTTTTAAATACAGGTACTCACACCCATTTTGATCCTCGGACTCACACTCTCTCTTGCATCGATCTCTCAGTCTGCTTTTCCTCCGCCGCATTAGACTTCACCTGGTCTGTTCTCCCGGATTTACATGACAGCGATCATTTCCCAATCATTCTTACTTCCCACGCTGGCACTTTGATCAGGCAAATTGGAACCTCTACTCACAACTAACTGTTTTTCGTGAGGTTCCTTCTTCGTCCTCCATTGATGAGCTTTTACACCTCTTCTCATCCCCCGTTTTATCCGCAGCTTCTCATTCTATACCCCAAACTTCGGGCAGGCATTCTCAGAAATGCGTGCCTTGGTGGTCTCCTGCTTGTGCTCGTGCAGTACGTTTGAAACGCACTGCATGGGGCAGGTACCGGTACAATAGAACCACAGAGAGACTTTTTGATTTTAAGCAGAAGCGTGCGATTGCTCGCCGTGTCATCCATGGCACTAAACGCACTTGCTAGTGAGATTATGTCTCCACCATCACCTCTGCTTCCTCTATGAGTGCAGTCTGGAAAAAAGTATGAAAACTGAGTGGTAAATATTCTCCTGACCCGGCTCCTGTTCTGCGGATTGCCGGTGTTGATATAGCATACCCACTAGATGTTACCAATGAAATTGGCACTCATCTGGCCTGTATTTCTCAGGGGCTCCATCTATGCCCCTCGTTTCTTTCCTCAAAGTCTGCCAGAGAGTTAGCACCCTTGGACTTCTCTTCTCTCAGAGAAGAGCAGTATAATGTGCCTTTTACACTTCAAGAACTGGAGGCAACACTCTTAGCTTGCCGATCATCGGCAGCTGGGCCCGACGACATTCATATTCATATGCTACAATATTTACATCAGTCAGCCCATGCAGTTCTATTACGCATTTTCAATCTTATTTGGTCACAAGGAGTTCTTCCACAGCTGTGGAAATCTGCCATTGTTCTCCCTTTCCGCAAACCAGGCACTACAGGACATGAAGCCTCCCACTATCATCCCATTGCTCTTACCAGTACAGTTTGCAAAGTAATGGAACGCCTGGTAAATAGACGTTTAGTGTGGTATTTAGAGACACACAACAGTCTCTCTACTCGTCAATATGGCTTTCGTAAGGGATGTTCTACCAGTTCTACATGACCTACCAGTTTCATATAGAGTTATTCCATTTATGGACTATTTTGCTGCAATAGCTACCCACCTTCACACCCGTTGGCAACAACATTGGTCTACTATGCTCGGTAACAAACTTCAGTCTATTAAACCGAGTATAGGTTACTGGCCGTCTTCTTGTCACCAGTGTCGAGGTAGGGAGACTACTCTCTCCCATTTTCGCATTGGCCATACTCGTCTTACTCATGGATATCTCATGGAGAGGCGACCTGCTCCTCTCTGTGAGAATTGCCAGGCTCCATTATCAGTCAGCCACATTCTGTTGGACTGCCCACTTTATCAACGAGCATGCAGAATTTACCTCCATCGTTGTCTTCGCTCAGCTGCTCTCTCTTTACCTTCCCTTCTCGCTGATGGACCCACCTTTCATCCGGACTCTCTCATTGACTTTTTGACAACTACTGACTTACTTCACAAACCCCCACTCTTCATAGATCTAAACTTACTCCCTGTTCAGAACATCCACACTTACTACTGTGCAATCTACATATTCAGGACCTTAAATTCCAATATTAACCTTGACCTAAAATGCTTTCTTGATAGTTGTGACAGGACCCGCAGGCATAACACCAGTCACAAACATCTCTACGACATTCCCCATGTCCGACTAAACCTTTACAAAAACTCATTGTATGTCAAAGGCCCTAAAATCTATAACATACTACCTGAAAACTCTAGAACAGCAGACACATTCATCACCTTCAAAACTACTGTTAGAAAACATCTTATCTCCCTGATACACCCCATCAACTAACTACATAAAAACCACCTGGTGGTCCACATATACACTCACTCACCCATTTGACTATAAGCACAGAAATACGTATCCTAATCTTAAAATAATGATTACTAACTAGTCATAAGTTTGCCTGTGATACTCCAATATAGAAACTATGTATTGTGCCAAAACAAAAGCATTCACATTGCTAAACTCACAAACTAGTATTTGTCACTTAGTATTTAGTCACTCAGTATTTAGTCAACTTACTCCACAATTTGTTATAATTTAGGGTTAAGAATTAATCTAAGTTTGCCCGAAATGCCTAGCCATGCTAGGTGTTCTAGTGGCCCCCTCTGTAATTAGTATTTTACTACATGTAAACCACACAATAACCAAATCTGTAAACCCTGCATTGTAATCCTTATAGAGAATAAACTTTGATTTGATTTGATTTGATTGTTTTAATGTCACCTTTGCACCATTTATAACATTTCTAGTGTATTTTTAAATGTTTATACAGTAGTGTACTGTATATTGTAATGAACAGAATAGAGGAAATCAGCTCTAATATACATTATTTAGGTATGCAGACTGGTCAGAGAGCCCTTCGTAAGTCCGTGTCATTGATAAACGAGTACATCACTGAGTGAGGAGAGGCTGTATTAGAGTATAACACAGTGTTACAATATTTTTCTGAAATTATATTAGGGTTGTTGTGGAGGTAGAAGCTGTTATGCGTTGAAGATCACAGATGGACTCTTCTCATAATAGTTAATTGAGCTATACTCTGTTTGTTGCTGTATTATATTTTGTTACTACATACAGGTTCGCCGAGGTGATGTTTTATCAGCCTGGGCTGGCATCAGGCCTCTAGTTCAAGACCCCAACAAGACAGATACTCAGAGCATTGCCAGAAATCACATTGTTCATGTTAGTGAATCTGGACTGATTACTGTTGCAGGGGGAAAGTGGACAACATATCGCTCAATGGCGTTAGATACACTAGATGCAGCAATTAAAGGTTTGTTAATGTCTATGTACAAGTTAAAAATTGTATGTAAATGCATGTATTTCAATTAATGTAAGCACAGTGATGTTCTTTGGATGTTTACTGATGGGTTTTCACTACACCTGAAATCGAGTATGGTGGGACCTCGAGTTTCAAAATTAATCTGTTCCAGGAGCTAGTTCTAAAGTCAAAATGTTTGAAATTCGAATTAATATTTCCCATAAGAAATAATGTAAATACAATTAATCCATTCCAGAAACCCAAAATTATTCACTAAAATACATTTTATAGAGATTAATTATAGTTTTATAGTAGGGCCCCACTTATATGGCAGGTTAGGTTCCAGGCTACCGGCGTAAAGTGGAAATTGCCATAAAGTGGAACACCCTTTTCTTCACTTATAAATGCATACAAATACTAGATAACAAGTTTACACTAACATATATTAAGTTAGCAGTAGAACTAGGCATCAAAAAACAAAAAAGTACAATACACACATAGTGCACTCATTACTTACCTTAAAATATTTATAGTCTTAATCTAGGGTGAGACAAGTAGTATTTATTGTAAGAAATCAAGTGTGGTATGTATGGTAGTCAGCCGGGCTACCATACCAGGCTACCCCACCTACACATAATATTCTATTACATTTAAGCATCCCAGAGCAATAAAATGCATATAAAGTTTACTCATTACTTACCTTAAAATATTTGTAGTCTTAATCTAGGGCGAGATGAGTAGTATTTATTGTAAGAAATCAAATGTGGTGTGTATGGTAGTCAGCCGGGCTACCATACCAGGCCATTCCACAAACATACTAATCTATAATATTTAAGCATCCCAGAGTGATAAAATGCATATACAGTTCACTCATTACTTACCTTAAGATATTTGTAATCTTAATGTAGGGTCAGGGGTGAGTAAACGAGATAAAACGAATAAATGAGAGTGAGAGAGAATGAGTACATGAGAGGGGACAGGCACAGAGCTTTGTAAACAAACCAGGCGAACGTAAGTTTTGTAAACAAACCAGGCGAACGTAAGTTTTGTAAACAAACAAAGTGTACACGTCTGGTTTGTGTACAAGTTGCATTGTATACAAGTTGTCTCTACATTGATGTTGTAGAATAAATAAAGAAGAACACTCCCATTCTCATGTAACACCATTTTTAGAAGAAATGACGCTCTGAGTGAAGGCAGTGGAAATAAGTCACTCTGTCTGACATTTTTTGGGTTATCCTAGGTTCTCTACACATGTGCTGTTGTGTATGATAATCTATGTAACTGTATTTGTGTATACCTGAATAAACTTACTTGCATACATACAAAAGGAATAATTTTCTACAGTTACCCCCAGTAACACATTTTCTCTTACGTTAGACTAGAGAAAATGTTATTCTTGCCATCACATGTACAAGTTATCTGGCTACGATATCTCATATTTATGTTTATTTATTCTGTTGTGGGGTGTATTTATCATCTTTATATGTTATGTATCATGTTTATTATATAATTTTGAAAAAAAATATCATGGATTAATGAAAATTTGTATATTAACATAATATACGATATTTAATGAGACTCGGTGATTATTATTATTATTATTATTATTATTATTATTATTATTATTATTATTATTATTGTTATTATTATCATTTCTAATATGGCATCACTTGTGCAAGTCGTCTGGCTACCACATCTCATATTAATGTTTATTTATTCTACTGTGGGGTGTATTTATCATCTTTATATGTTATGCATCGTGTTTATTATATAATTTTGAAAAAATATCATAGATGGATTAATGAAAATGTGTATATTAACGTAATATATGACATTTAAATGAGACTCGGTGATTATTATTATCATTAATAATATGACGTCTCGAGATATAAGACACTCTTACTGATTTTAATGTGTACCTGCACACCAGCACAGTGTGTAAATTTATTTAGGTACAGGTATACATAAGTATAATTATCAGAGTATATATAAAATATGAAATAACTTTTAAAAACACTTGAAATTTTGGAGTTTCCAGACAAAATGGAGAAACTTAGTGCTTACGGATCTCACAGAGAATGTAAACAAACAGGAAGGGGCGCGGTGACCATATTAGAAAGTCAGGTGGGGGAGCCGTATAGCGAGTTTTGGTCATAATTTGAAATGACCATATTAGTGGAACACCGTAAGCGAAACACCGTAAAGTGGGGCACTACTGTACACATGACAAACATACATAGTACAGTTAGTAAAAATTAAATAAACATTTAAATAAACATATAAAATAACTTTTACTGACCTTTATTGAAGATTGTTGATGGCATCTGGAAGATAGGGAGGAGAAGTGAGGGAGGACTTATTGTTTGGAAGGGGAATCCCCTTCCATAAAGACTTCAGGTAACAAGTCCTTATCTGACGTTACTTCCCTACTTTGTCTTTTAATGCCACTAGGACCAGCTTGAGAGTCACTGGACCCCTGTCTCACAAAATAACTGTCCACAGTCCTCTGTTTCTGGCGCCTCTTGAAGATTTCCCTAAAATGGGACGTGGTTCTACATAAGAACATGTAACAATGCCTAAGTGTACGTAATAAGGCAAACAGATTACTGGGATATATATCAAAAAGTGTAAGCAACAGAAGTTCAAAGGTTATATTACAGCTTTATACATCATTAGTAAGGCCTCGCCTAGATTACGCAGCTCAGATCTGGTCTCCACATTACAGAATGGACATAAATTCATTAGAAAACATTCAGCACTGAATGACTAAATTAATACATAGAATTAGAAATCTTCCTTATGAAGAAAGATTGAAGACCCTTAGCCCTTTTAGGGTCCGTCCCGTAGATCTATGGCTTTACATTCAGGGTCCAAGCTGTAGATCTACACCAAAATTCTAGCGGTGTCAAATTTAGCGCGAGAAGGCTGGTAGGCCTACATCTGAGAGAATGGGTCTGGGTGGTCAGTGTGCACACCATAGAAAAAAATCTGGACGCCTGCATGGCATTGTGGGAACGCCGGCAAAGTAGCTTTGTTCATTGTGCCTGGTGGCAAGGAAGCTCTCACTCCCCACTCACTCTCTGAGTGAATTCTGACTCTTCTTTTCGGAACTTACAGTTCTAAGACTGATGGAAGTGGAGCTGAAGACGAATTCTATGGTTTTGAACCATGTGGTACCATTGTGCCATATGGTACAATGGTGCCATGTCATACAATTCAAATTCAAATTCAAATTCAAAGTTTATTCTCTATAAAGATTACAATGTTGAATTTACAGAATTTGGTTGTTGTGTGGTTTACATGTAGTTAAATAATGATTACAGAGTGTACCACTAGAACGCCTAGCATGGCTAGGCATTTCGGGCAGACTTAGTTTAATTCTTTATTTTAAAATATTACAAATTATGAGGTAAGTTGGTATTATGGCTAAGTGACTAAATAATAGTTTGTGAGTTTAGCAATGTGAATGCTTTTGTTTTGGCACAGTACATAGTTTCAGTATTGGAGTATCATAGGATTCATTATTTTAAGATTGAGATTTATATTTCTGTTTATGTTCAAATGGGTAAGTGAGTGTAAGTGTGAACCACCAGGTGGTATTCGTGTAGTTAGTTGATGGGTTTATCGGGGAGATAAGATGTTTTCTAATGTAGTTTTGAAGGTGATGAATGTGTCTGCAGTTCTAGAGTTCTTAGGTAGGTGTTTCCAGATTTTAGGGCCTTTGACATACATTGAATTTTTGTAAAGGTTTAGTCGGACATGGGGAATGTCGTAGAGATGTTTGTGTCTGGTGTTATGCCTGTGGGTTCTGTCACAACTATCAAGAAAGCATTTTAGGTCAAGTTTGATATTGAGTTTAAGGTCCTGTAGATGTAGATTGCACAGTAGTAAGTGTGGATGTACTGAACAGGGAGTAATTTAGATCTATGAAGAGTGGGGGGTGTGTTGCCAGGATGGGATTTAGTGATTATTCTTACTGCAGCTTTTTGTTGGGTTATTATTGGCTTTAGGTGTGTTGCTGCAGTTGATCCCCAAGCACAAATAGCATAGGTGAGGTATGGATAAATAAGTGAGTGGTATAGTGTGAGAAGGGCATTTTGCGGCACGTAGTATCGTATCTTGGAGAGGATCCCAACTGTTTGGATACTTTTTTGGTTATGTGTTGGATATGGGTGCTGAAATTCAGGTTGTTGTCAAGGTATAGGCCTAGCAATTTGCCCTCATTATGTCTGGTAATTAGAGTTTTTGTCGATCTTAATGTTAATTTGTGCATATCCTGCTCTGCTACCAAACATAATATAGTAGGTTTTGTCAGTGTTAAGCGTAAAGTTTATTGGCTTCATCCAAGTCGATATTTTGATCACTCCTCGTTAACAATGGTGTTGAGGGTGGCAAGATTAGGGTGAGAGATGACATAAGTCGTGTCGTCAGCAAAGAGAATGGGTTTCAGGTGTTGGGATACGTTTGGAAGATCATTGATGTATATGAGGAAGAGCAGGGACCAAGGACACTTCCCTGCGGAACTCCAGTATCAAGGGGCCGTGTTGTTGATGCTGTGTCTTTAATGGTAACATACTGAACCTATTAGTAAGGTAAGATTTGAAATAAGCAAGCGCATGGCCACTTATACCGTAATGGTCAAGTTTGTGGAGTAGGATGTCGTGGTCTACTGTGTCAAAAGCTTTTCTTAGGTCAATAAAAATTCCTAGTGGATATTCCTTATTTTCCAATGCTGTGTAAAGCAGATCTAGCATTTTTATAAATTGCATCATTAGTGCTTTTATTTTTCCTAAATCCAAATTGGCAGGGGTTGAGTATGTTTTGTGCTGTTATAAATGAATATAGTCTCCTGTGCACGAGTTTCTCAAAGATTTTGGATAGCAATGGTAAGTTTGATATTGGCCTATACTTGTTTAAGTCTGTAGGGGCCCACCACCTTTATGTATTGGTGTAACCCTTGCCATCTTGAGTAGTTTTCGGGAAGGTGCTAGTTTCTAGTGACTTGTTAA